TTAACATTTTGCCCTTCTAGCAATTTTCCAAACTCCAGAATTTGGAAAAAATAAATCTCCAAATCAAAAAAAAAAGAAAAAAGAAAAAAAAAGAGGCAATAGTGAAGAAAAGTACTTAGTAGGATGTGAAAGTAAACAACATTAAGACAGGGATACTAGCTTAACTTTAAACTAGATAAAAAGAAGGTGAAAACAGGAGAATCCATGCACTACACTTAATGATTCAAAAAGCCTCAACTAAGTTCTGTACATATTTAACTATAAAAAGACTGCACAAACTAATTTTTCTTTGCTTTTGGGTGAAATTATATCGCTTCGGTCTAGCAATATTAGCTTTCTCAGGTTAATCAAAAGTTCCTATTGGAACTTTAAGTTTTGACTAACACAAAAATGGAAATGATTTAAGCACTTTATTTAGGACACAAAGTCATTCTGATCACAGTGGGTGGGGAACGAGTAGAAATAAAAAAGAATGGACCTAGGTAAGAGGACAGTAGGAGTTAAAATGAGAATCCAGGTGGGTTTTATGAAAATATAAAAAGGGTTGAGAATCAATGGATTAGGTCTACTTTATGTCAGGGATTACTTGAGACTATTTTGGTGTGAAGATTCTGTCTGCCGATACCTTAAACTGGTGATCTGAAGGATGGAAATGACAGCTACCCTCATCTCCTTCCTTCCTGAAAGCTAAGGAGAGAGAAAAGTAAAGCTGCTTCTCTGAGAAACAAAGATGCTCTCTACCATTCTTCTAAGATGGTGGAAGAGTCTTCTCAAGAGGCTTCCCCAAGGAAAAAAAAATATGAAAGGAGGAAAAAAGAGAGCCATAGCAGAATTCCCTGGCTGTGTTTCATGCCATTGCTTCTAGTCAGATCCTCTGTGCAACCACTCAGGTCGGGCCATCTCCCTCCAGGGAGGTTAAGCCCTCGCAGGGCATTGTTTGGCCAAGGTCCCTATTTATACCGCTCACATCGCCTCCACCATCCCTGCGCGAGGGTCTCCGGAAGCCCCAGGGCAGCAAGATGAAAAGCCAGAAGAGGACCAGATTTCGAGGACCTCTTCCAAAGCCCTCTCTTACTAACTGGGGGAGGAAAGGGAGAGGGAAACCTGGCCTTCGCTTGGGTGGGTTCCTTAGTGGTCAGAGGCGTCCTCTCGGTCAGTATTGGAGGAAGGTGGCCATTTGAGCCGGTCGCTCCGCATCGAAAAAGCCCTACCCGAGACAGGGGCCTCCTCAGGCCCGGGGTTCCGTCCGAGTGTCAGGTGCGGCCCTCAGTTCCCAACCCTCGGGGTTCCGGCAGCAGCAGTGCACAGGCCCCCGGGTTGAGACCGGTCTCCCGCCCGACCGCTGGGGACCTGGCACCGGGCTGGGGCCCGAGCCGCATCGTGCCCGCCCCCGCCCTACCTGAGGGGGCCCGGGCGGGGTCGCTAAGGGCCGCTCCCGGGAGCCCCGCGACGGCGCGGCTCGGCGACGGAGGCGCCTCGTCTCGCCGGGGCAGAGCTCGGCGGCGGTTTCAAGGCCTCAAACTCCATCGGGAGCTACAGGGACAGCCCCGTTGGCGGCGGCGAAGGCCGCGGCGGGGCCTCCTCCTCCTCCTCCACCCTCCGCCTCCTCCTCCTTCTCCTCCTCCTCCTCCTCCTCACCACGGAGGCGGACCTGGAGGGATCCCGACTTAGCTCTCGCGAGAAGATTCTCTCCAGTACACGCGAGATTACGCAAGCCCGGGAGTTGGTGAGGGGAAAGAGAAGCTTAGTAGTCCCTGCCACCTAAACTGCGCATTGGCTTCTCTCTGGGCTAACCAATCCACCCTCATCACGTGACGAGGAGGCCCCGGAGCACTGTGGGACTGCTGTGAGGAATACTAGGCTAGGCGAAGGGATTGATGGGAAAATCCCTGTGCATTCATCTGCGCCGGCTAGACACTGTCGTGAGGTACTGTACTGTCAGTCTCCCACAACGAAGCGTGTTCTTTGAACAGAATCTGATACACCCGTGTTACTTTCTACTTCATTCTCCTGTAATGAAATGCTGAGCGGATCCCTCAATTCTTTCACATTGGTACCACGTAATCTGCCAATCACAAAACAAAAACACCAAAATGAAAAAGTTTAATTGGCAGACACTTACACCTCTCTAATCTTATTAAAGAGAAAACCCTGAGCTCCTTCAATGTGGAACTAGATGTCCATCAAAAAGTTCTATGGAAGTAAACCAAACATTAATTAAAATATGCATAATGTTATATAATGAGCTTTAAAAACATGGCTATTACTGCCTGATGACAAGATCAGCGCTTTTGGAAAAATTCATTGGCCCCCATCAGACTTTTATGTATATGTTGTTATCCTTTAAATTCACTTTGCTATATGGAATATATAACAATCCAAAATAAATGTTCCCAACAATCAGCAGTTCATTTTTATATTTTCAACTGGAGAGTGATGGGTGATTATATTTATATAGTTGCTTTCCAACCTATTGTATTTTTCAATTCTATGGAAGACATATATATGTGTGTGAAGACATATATTTGTGGGTATATGCACATAAACATGTAAATACATATGTATATATGCACACATGTATATACACAATTATTTCTATTCCACAGACGAGGGAATATACCTGATTTTTCAAAAGTATACTGATCACTACATATAACAATCCCAACCCACTTTCCCTAGACTTCCTATTTCTATCTTCAAACCCGTTTTCAAAATTTGACATACATTAATTCTACTTGTTTACTGTTTTGTCTCCTTCCACTAGAATAAAAGTTTCATGAGTACAGGGATTTTTGTTTTTACACACAGATTCTAGTACAGATAATTAAAAACTCAATAGGTATTTTTAGAGTAAATGATTAAATAGGAGAAATTGTGACCTAAAATTCACGGACATAGGCAAAACATGAAGTTCTCTATTCCCACATCCACTTTATTATTTCTTATGTAAACATAAAAGCTAGTTACATCAAGGAAAAACAGCAAGGACTTTCTCTTACAACAAAGTAACAACTACCTTTCAAGGTCTTTTATATTTATAAATGCAGTAAATAAAAAAGCTGTTCACAAATAATTTTATCTTATCAAAAACAGAAACAACTAAAAGTGAATATTTTAAATGAAGAAATTCTACTTTGCTTTGCCATGCCTACATATTAAAAATGATTCCATTCACCTGCAACTTTTAAGACACATCATGCAAACATACTCTCCTAGGAATGTTTTAAGATCACTGTTCTAGTTAACAGGAATAAATAATATAAATAACAACCATCACTTTTACAAAACACCCTTCCCCCAAAGCAAAAATCTCAAAGTGCTCACAAAAAAATTTTACAACAATCTTACAAGGCACACATAAACCTAAACATTTTCAACCAAATTTTTCTCAAACATCCAAGATAGTAAATGCCAATTCCTAAAAAAATTCAGTTTATTTTACTCTCTCTTCCCATCCCGAGCCCCCCCACTTCAAAATTTTATCCTAGTAAGGAAAAATAAGTACTTCAAACACAAACTATTCCTGAAAGGGAAATACTTTCACAACTATAAATGGTCACTTACTCAAATGGGAAAGAAAATTAAGCACTGAAGTATTATATTACTCAGTGGAACAAAAACACTACTTTAGAAAAATTCTGTATCCAATGGAGTATTTATATAGCAACATTCATAGACACAAAACTCTCCTCTCTTGCTTTCCTCTTTTCTCAGTTCTCAAATAGAATTAAATATAATATGCAATTTTAGACCTGGAAATGATCTTACAAATTATCAAGACCAAAATTATTATACATAAAGGAACATTAAAGGACAGGTGACCTGCCCAATGTTATTAATTAGTGACCTGGGTAATAAAGTCAGTTTTTCTCATCAAATATGAGACTTAGAATCTTTAAAGTCTCTCCCCAGAGTAAAATTCTATGGAGAGTATCTTTCCCACATGAGTATCACAAAAACAATATTTTACATTTATAACAATCAATATGATTCTTCATGAAATTCTTATAAGTGGTACAAAGTATATTATGTTTTAAAATACAGGACATCAATAGAAATTAATTACAGTAGAAATTTTACATAAAGCTGAGTTAAGTAGAAAAAGCATAGAACAGCCTGAAAGTTAAATTTGTCCAGTCAGGCTTCTTTACTAAAAGTAGTTCCTGCATTTTAGAGGAGGTGATTTGCCCTGTGATATATTTTGATCTTTGTTATGACAACAAAAACAAGTTTTGTATTATATGTAGGCAGGGACATTAAGAGAGCTGACTCAGAATATTACTCCTACTATAGTAATTATATGGTTTTGCTTTTCTGGAAATATCAAATAAAACTCTAAGAATTGGTAAGATTTTTGTTTAAAGAGCAGATAAAAATGCATTAAATGAAAATACCATCACTAATAATTAACATTAGCAGCTATTCACATTTAAACCATTCATCTAGTGACAACTAAAATATATTGACAATTAAAAAGGAAAAAGGGAATGAAAATTGATACCTGCATGAATGAACCTCAAAGGCATTATGTTGCGTGGAAAAAAATCTCAAAAGGGAATATACTAACATTCCATTTATCTGACATTCCAGAAAAGACAAAATTATAGAGATGAAGAACTACTGCCAGGGTTTATAGCTAGGAAGAACTGACCACAAAGAGCAGCATGAAGGAGATAAGGGAAGTGATGGAACTGTTCTATATTCCAATGGCAGTGGTGATACAAAAACTAAAAATTATGATTTAACTGTATTAAGTAAAATCAATAGCCCCATTAATTATTCTAAAATATGTATAATGATAATAAAAATGAAAGTACTTTAAGGAATTTAACATTTTCTAAGGAAATTCTATTCCAAAGTGAATCTGAATTGTGTTCCTTTATAATTTAAAATAATAGGTATCTTGGTGTTTGTTTAGCAGAAAAGGAAAAATGTTCCTAGTAATTCCTGTTCTTAAAAAAAATGACTAGTAATGAATAATAGTGCATTTTAAAATTTATTTTCTTTCATTATTTTGATTAATTAAAGTTATTATATAGTTGGATTTAACATTTAAATTAATTATCTAGACACTACAAATCAGAATCTGCAAATACAGTCGGATCCTCGGTCATCAGAATAAAAAATATTTAAGTAAAACACTATTTCTCAAAGTGTACCACTGGGACTTATATGTAACACACACGACAAGATAAGTCCCATAACTTTTTCATGCCTCTCACAATTTTTTGGAACTGTCAGAAGTTCAGAAAGAATAACATGTGAGGCAGACCTAAAAGGGGAAGGGATGGGGAACAATAAAATTATTACAAATACTGCATTTCTAAAACCTATGAGAATGATACAAAGTTTACAAAGGAAGTCCATGATTCCATTTATAGCAGATCTTGCCTTTTAAGATCAGGTCTAGGTAATTTTTCACCACTACTTCTGCCATGAACAGAGGTTAAATGCTTTTTGAGAGCAGACTTGTGCTTGAAATCCATATCACAACAATGGCACTTGTATGGCCTATCCCCACTGTGTATGTTCAAGTGGTCCTGAAGTGTGCTTTTAGCAGTAAAGGTCTTCAGACACACAGTACACTGAAAGGGCCGAATGCCCATATGCCCTCGAATGTGCCGGTTAAGATTTTTCTTCTGTGTAAATGTTTTCCCACATTGTAAACACAAGAAGAGTTTATGCATCTTAAGGTGGCGCAGGTAGTTTTCTACATGAAGAAACCCTCGTGGACACCTGGGACACTGGTGCCTCAGTGAATAACTCTCCTCTAGGTTCTGAATCTCACTTGCTGTACCATGACTTTCATCAGTATTCTCACAAAATAAACCCTGACCTTGATTCCCAGGAACTTCTGCCACTCTGCTCTCCACTGTAGAATTAATCAATGAATGCTGTGTTTCAGAGAAATACAGGCTTGCATTTGATGAGGTACAAGGCTGTGAAAACTGCCCATTTTCTCCACTAGCTGTACTGATAGATTCCACATGAAGGATACAAATTTCATTGTCTTTAAAACCCACATCTATTGGGGATAGCTCTGGTGACTTCATTTCCTTTCTCTCTGATGTCAAGCTTTCTACTGTGGTCTGTAACACATTGTCTTCCTCTTGTTTAACATGGAAATCTATGTTTATAGGGCTATCTTCTGAAATTTCAATTATCTCACAGTCCTTATCAGAACTTTCTTCTTCATTCTTAACATCTGGATCAGAAGAGTGACACAGGTCAGCGTGTTGATTGTTGTTTTTCATAGATAGATCAATTTCCAGATACTTTGACAAAGCTTCTGTGCACTTTTCCACAATGTGAACCATCTGAAGGTAACTGGCAGCAGTCAAATATTTCAAAAGCTCTTTCCTTTTTACTTCAAGTGCTCCAGTGTAGCAAGAGAGCAACAATTTTCTGCCAACTTCTGCACTTTGCAGAATGGTGATTCTGACATGTTTTGATTGTGTGAGTAAAAACTGATCTCTCATAAAAGTGGAACAAGCAGCCAATATCACCTTGTGCCCCTGGAACTCAGTGTCATTAATATAAATTGATACATCACAAAATAAATTCTGCTGCCTCAAGAGATTCATTTTCTGCAAGACCACATCTCCTTGCTGTTCAAACTGGAAGTGCAAAACATCAGACTCAGCAGCCATGGTCAAAATCTAAGCAGAATAAAACACAAACATTGATATAAGGATAAGGAACGCTTCGTCCCGCTATGATAGTAAGAATAATTCCCTTCCTCTCCAAAACCCAAAGCTGAAATGGAAAAAAAACCCAAATTGTACTCTGGGTGCTAAGAGTGAACCTCTATATCACCATCTCAAAATCCAGAAAAGTATAATGCATTTGTCTATGACCTCAAGACACATTTCTCATATTGGCTAAATTTTATGTGCCTTGTGATCAAGAACAATTTTTAATATCCAGTAATAGGCAAAGTGATCACAAAAAACTACACTTAGCATGATATCCCAAATTAGAAACTTTTATGTACAGACCTTCTGTTCCCTACGACTACTACAGTTCCTCACCCCTGTTCACATGGATCATTGTAATGTTTTCCCCCAGGCTTCCTCAACATTAACAATCTCTTGTATAACCCTCCTGATTTCCACCCGAATTAACATCATCATCATAAATTAACAACAAAATAAATCTCTCTTCTGATTTAAGTCACCCATTGCTCTCCTTTAACTCCAGGATGGCCTTTAGGTTCTTAAAAAGAACGCATGATCCTTCGCTATTTAAGCCTAATTCACTTTTACATCTTGATCTCCCTCTACTAATCATACTCTTAGTTCCTTAGATATTAAATTCTTCATAATCGCTCAGATAAAAACACCTAAATACACCTCTGCATAGTTACTACTTTCGCGTTTCCAGCTCCTTTTTCCAGCTCGTGATTAGGCTCCTTTAAACATAAAACAAATGAGACTACAGTGACTCCTCCCACAGGGTCAGTAGCTCTCAGAGCACCACGAGAAGACGCCTGATTCCTCCGCATTCCTCCGTGAGTATAGGAGCTACCACAGAGGGGGAAGAGGTCAGGCAACACTGTGGACCTAGCACTAGATCACGGTGGCCCGGACGATCCCTCCGGCTCCGCGTACAGCACGAGCCGAGTTTTCCAGGGCCAAGGCCCTATCGGCCGAGGCACTACAGCACCCAATTAGCTTCTCGGGGGGTCGCGCACTGCCGCCGTCTTCCTCCTCTTCAGGCCTCCACACCTGGCGAATCGCCTTCGCGCTCACTTACCGACCCTGAAAACCGGTGTTGAGGCTTCCGCGGTAGCGGCGGCCGGGCCGGAAGGAGGACTTAGCCTAGGAGGAAACACATCCGGTGTCAATCAGCTTTATTGCTCACTCGGGGAGCCGCCTGGGCGCCCCGGAAGGACATCTGAGACTTTTCCTCAGACCCCCTACCTCCTGGAACGACAGGAAAGCACTCAAATGCCGGCGAGCCTCCTTTCTTCTTCCCAGTTTCGGGACGCGAGCCATTTCCCTTCGTGAGTCCTCCCCAACATCCATGTAGGAGACGAGTGTGAAGTTGGGTCACGGCACTTGCATTCCAGTACCCAACGCCGAAACCTGTGGAGGGTCCTTGCGGATTATTACGGGGCGGGGTTTTCCTTTATGAGGCTATTTACTTCTTGAAAAGTGGCTGAGGAAAGGAGAAACTACCATGGGGAATCTGTATTCAAGATTGCCTAACTAGTGCCATCACGATCTGGGCCCAAAGTTTGAAGATAGCAAGATAAGTTTCAAGTCCACTCCCCAGTGCCCACCCTCTTTGGTCTGTTATCTTTTTCTTTTTTTGCTGTGCTGGATCAAATCCAGAGCCTTGCTCCTGAAAGGCAAGACCATCTAGCTACATTCCAGCCCCAAAAGAACTGGGGATAAGCAGCGGCTTTAACCATGCAAAGCATTTCTTCCCACTTATCCTAATTGGTTCCCACTCCTATAATCCATTTGTCATCAATACTGCATTTATCATACCTGTTTTGATATTTGTGTCCCATACAGGAGGTATGGGACCTGTTTTGATATTTGTGTCCCATACAGGAGGTACTTACTGATTTTGCTTTCCTAAAGTTTAGTACTTACTTAGTAGGCATAAAATGTCTGAACCAGTTTTTAAAACACCTGCTTTACCTCTCAGCCAATTCTCATGGAAATAGCCGATTCCAGTAATAACTAATTTTGGTTAACTCGTATTTCCTTCTGAAAGTATACTCAGCATATTTGATTAATGTGCTTTAAAGTATACTGGATTCATATTCAAGCAACCGAAAAAGCAGGAGGGGAAAGAAAAGAAAGTAAACCATTGACACCAGAGTTTTAATTGTCGCACTTTTATTAAGGAAACTTCCCCATAATAAGTGAAGAGGTAGTTCATAGTATGTCTAACATACAACAGATTTAGAACAGCTAGTCATGAGCTGATATAAAATGTGTGGTTTGTTTAGGACAAGATTTTAGAAGTGGTGACACTGGTCACCTTCCATCATAGACCTAATGAAGAAACTAAAACAAATTAAAACCACATCTGATTTACCTTAGAACCACTTCAATTTGGAGTTTGTCTTTAAAATTAAATAATAAATAAATAACTGAGACACAGCCATTTTTAAAAACCAAACTGGAAAAGAGTCCTTTCTCCTTCTTAATTATGCTGGGGATGGATAAAATACAAATGCTGAAAGACAAAGATTTTAAAATTATTCTCTATAGGAACATGACTATGTTTGAAAGTCATCTTCCTGTATAAAATTTACTTTATATCAGAAACTTGACCTCTCTGCAACATAATCTAAGAAACATGTATAAGCTAAGAAGGAGAAAAGGCAAGTCTCACCAAAATTAGAAAATGTCTCACAGAAACAAAACACCTCTCCAACCAAGAATGGAGGAGACTGCAGATACTTCAGTGGTTTGCGCTTGCAAAAAGTGAGAATTAAAAGTTTTACCAAGAGAAAATCAGAAAAAAATGCTTTAAGTGACCAAAGAAAACAAGGCAGTTTTATTATTCTAAGTAGAAAATCAAATTGAGACCACATAAGATTATAAGGTCCATTAGGGCAGGGACCATATCAAATCTTACCTTCATATCCTCAGTATCTATATAGTACCTGGCAACAGTAGGTGCTTAATAAATGTTTCTTGAGGCTGAAGGTGTAGTTCAGTGGTAGAGCATGTGCTCAGCATGCACAATCCCCAGCAAAAAAAAAAAAAAAGAGTTTCTCAAGTGACTGAACTAATTCAGAAATAGTCTCCAACCAGAGACCAATCATATTTGAACCCCTGCCTTTCAGTCTTCAAAAATAGTAACAAAAACAGGAAATGCATATGACCAAAGGAAGCTTTCCAACTTGAAATTTTCCTGTGAAGAAATGATATTCAGAGAAAAAACCCAATACTGGTTGATACTCTAGTCTTACTGTTGCATAGAATTTATAGTCTTTGGATCATATACAAATCAGAATGCTAGAAAGCAACATTAGACTATAATAATGAGTGATGCTGGGCATATAAGGTACCTAGTGATCTTATCACTCAACTGTATTCTCAAATTTTTAAACAAAAGAAATTATACTTCAAATTTGACTCACATGTAAACATTTCAAATTATGACCCATCAGACTATATGAATTAGCCTTTTTTTTGGATTATCTTTGTATGCATTCTCATTGCCCAAAAATAAAAACAAAGTCCTGAAGAAAATGAAATAAACAGTTTTCCAGACAAATCAATTTCACATTGGGAGCCTTCTCACATTATTCTTACTTGCCTTTTCCCTCTCTAACCAATACTTAACATATCAGTCACTTGCTTGAGGAGAATGTAATACTTATCAAACTAAAAAATAATTAATGGGCTAGTGATATAGCTCAGTGGCAGAGTGCTTGCCAAGCATGCACGAGATGCTCTGGGTTTGATCCCCAGCACCACAAAAAATAAAAATAAGATAAATCTAAAAAAAAAATAACATAAATAAGTCCCTTGGTGATATTTTGTTGGCAAAATCCAGGCTGTCTCAGAAAGCCAACAAGTAAACACAGAGGTGAAACAAACTGGGAGCTTTTTGCTAATGCATTATTCTCCATTGTGTACTAAATCTCTTTAAATCAAGGTATAATGGGAACAAGGAAGGAGATATTAATTTATATTTAGTCACTTATCAATTTTGGCCAGTCTTGGCCAGGACAGCTCTTGAGCTTTGGATGTCCCAACTTAAAATGAAAGAGATGGAATAAATGATTTCTTAGGATTCTCTAAGTACTCTCAACAGTCCTATTGCTAATTCTAACTCAGGGTCTTAAATAAAACTGAAAATTCTATGGCTGAAATGTGCTTTGGGAGAAACAGTTGTTTTGTTTTTCCATACTAGAAGAGCAACTTTGTATTATCAATCTATTGAAAGTGGGAAAGTGGGATGGGGTCCCTTTAAGAGGAGTATCTGAAAGCAAAATTGTTCCAAAAGCACAGATTATTCCTGTGTCCCACCTAACTTTTTTTTAATATATATTTTAGAAATTAAGATACATGAGGGAAGAATTAAGATACTTGTAGTTAACTGGACAAAACTCTATAGCCAGACTCACCTTTCTGATGGCTGAACTCTGATGTAAAGTTCAGAGACTCCTCAACAGCCCCCTTCTAGAGAAACCATTATTCTTTTGCACATTTAAAGTGTGCCTGAAACAATCATGATTTCAAAAGCATCACTAAGCTATGCTTTAAGAATATGGTCTCTTGCTGGGATATGCTACTTGGAAGACATTCCATGTGAGTACTGTTGTATTAATTATATTTTTGTCCTTTGTTAATTAATACTCCTCATGGTGATCTCTGTCTCCAGATGTGGCTGAAAAGTTTGTACTCTGGTTTGTGTGAACAATGAGATGAAGTTGGGCTTCACTAGTGTTGAAAAGGGCATAGACCAACCAACGTACTTTTTGATAGCCAGTTGCAAGGCAAGTACAGATGGTAGGATGCAGACTCATTAATTTATCAGACATGGATGAATTATCAATAGGCAACCAGACGGTTCTATCACATTCAGATCAACAGCAGTATTATCATATATCTCAACCTATTTTTTGCCAAAAACCAAAACTATTCACTTCTCTTAGCATAGCATCTATTAGTGGAGAGTGGGATGATATTGTTAATTTGTTGGTGACCTTCAGACTGCCTGGTAAAAGCCTAAAACAGTGTAAGTCTAAGACAATATTAGGTAGACAAATGGAAGTATTCCTTGGGAAAGGAAAACAGACATCACAGGATAAATAAAACATAAAATGGGAGAGATCAGAAGGAAGGCAAATCCACTCCAAGTGGTAAGTTGCCTGGTCTATTAGTGCTTTAACTCACCCCATACCACCTGCACAGAGGCTTCAGAGAAGTCAAACTAGCAAAACCACTCCTAAAAATACTCAAGACTATTGTCACATTCTCAGTCACTGCTAGTTGTGAGCATTAAGTCCCTACTCAATTCACACAAGTACTATCACTCCTTAAGTTCAGGACAGCTTGGGCCAGTTTACCTGCATCCAGGACCTGTGTTGCGTCAGGCTGTGGCTGACACCCTTTAGAGTCTGTGACTGTCGTACATGCAAAAGAATCAAAATCCACTGTGAGGTCTTGCACATTTCTCTCATTGGCATTATCAAAGCTGTTTTTGCCATGCAGCTGCTTAAGGTGTTTCCTCAAAACTGGCTTATGTGCAAAAACCATGTCACAATAGTTACACTTATGGGGCTTATCTCCACTGTGAAGGTTAAGATGATCCTGTAAGGAACACTTCTGAGAAAAGGTTTTCCCACAGATTTTACACTGGAAAGGTTTAATTCCGGCATGTACGCGCATGTGTCGATGAAGATTGCCTTTCTGAGTAAAAGTCTTGCCGCAGAGTAGACACATAAAGAGTTTGTGCATTTTTAAATGGTTGGCGTAGTTCTCCAGGTGACGAAACACCCTGGTACACTTTGGGCACTGGTGATGCCACTGTAAGCCTTTGTCTACACCTCGAATATTAGGCCCAAAAACATCTTTTGAGGTCATGATGATGTTATCACTGCCTGTATAAGAAAGGGCATAATTGTGGAGATGGTTTTGTTCTATTTCACTTACTCTGTTTTCCACAGTTGAATTTATCAGGGAGTGCTGGGGCTCTGATGAGTGTAAAGCAGTGGGTTCAGAAGAAATAAACTGGTTCTGATCTTTCTTACTTCTAACCTCAGATACATCCCCAATAGATTCTACCTTAACAATCTGAATATCACTGTCCTCCATATCCATACTGTCTTCAGATGGATGAATACAAGGTGAGTCCTGCTTTGGGGAGCCTCTGGCATCTCCCTGCTGTTCTTTTGACTGGGGAGAAGCACTCTGTGGTTCACATCCCTCTTTACTATCCATTGGTTGTTTTGGCTTTATAAACTTCCACAGGGCCTGTGTGCATCGTTCTACAATGTGGCTCATCTGAAGAAAACTCGCAGCAGTCAAGTAATTTACCAGTTCCATCTCAGGGAATTCCAGCACACCACTATAACAGGATAAGAGCAATTGTCTCCCCACTTCAGAACTCTGTAATATTGAGATTTTCACCTCTCTGGAATCATTCAGTAAAAACTGGTCTCTTAGGAAGGGGGAACCTGCAGCAAACACAATTTTATGCCCCTGTACCTCAATATCATCTATGAGAACTGTAACATCACAAAATTTATTCTCTTCTCTTAATTTGTTCATTTTTTGTAACATTGAATCTCCATAATTTTCAAACTTGAAGTGAAGGAGATCTGATCTTTCAGACATTTTGGCAGACCTAAAGAACAAAAATGTAAAAAGGTTGAATTTAAGGAAATTTAAACAATTAAGAAACCTGGATTTACCTTTCAAAACCAAATTTGTTGTCATGCTTTGTATGTATGCATATGAAATTTTCTTTGAAAGAGGAAGCTTTTGATGGCTATTAAAAATTGCTCCTTACCAATATCAAGGGTCAATTGCACCTAAAGAGTAGACATATATAAGTGTAAATAGCTGGGCATTCACTCAAGTTTTTAGACACTTAATATAAGAATATATATTATATTGGATAATGCTAAGAATATTTATTCACTTCTCAAATGAGAATTCAGTCAGGTTTCAAAAGCAAACTAAAACATCCCAACCAAAGTAAAGATGAAGTGATTAGTTTCTTTTGTATGAAACTGTGGACCTCTGTCTCCTAAATCAAAATACTCTTCCTTTGCTTTGTATTTTAAAGAACCACAACAACATTGTTTGCCACATGCATTCCTGGACAGTCCCTTTCCTGTCTAGATCAATGTGAATTCGTTTTATTTTCATTTTTGTTTTGTTTTTCCACTGTGAATACATATGAGTAATTCTGTGATAAAATGAAAAAGTTACAGATGTAGAGGGACAATGTTTGACAAGTATTCAAACATATTTCTTTATTCTGTGCATTGTGGATAAATCTAAACTCTGTTTTAAGAACATTTCTTGAGTTCGGTACCTTGGTACATGCCTGTAATTCCCCTTACTCAGGAGGCTAAGGCAGGAGGATCACAAGTTCAAGGCAGTCTCAGCAACTTAGTGAGGCTTAAGCAATTCAGTGAGATCCTGCCTCAGAATAAAAAAAGGTCAGGGATGTGACCCTTGGGGATTCAATCCCTGGTACCTTCCAAACAAACAAAATCCTTGATATATAAAGAAAATACTTGATACAGAAAAGTCACGTGTTAGGAACATTAGTAGGAGTAATATAGATCTAATCAACCCCTTCTAGATTCTGTTCTTTCCTCTTTTTCCCTATTTACCCATCAGTACTTTCACATGGACTACTAAATCCGATTCATAAGTATTTCTATTGGCTTCCAGTTTCTATTCCCTCTTATACATCACATGCCATCTTTTAAACACATGATTATATCCCACCCTGCATGAAATCCTTCAGTGACTTCCTGTTGTTTCTTGAAAGAAGACTAACCTCTTGAATAAGCTTGTTAACGTAATAATAATTAAGGCAAACATAGGCATAACCTTTTCAACCATAGAGAAAGTATCTTTGCCAAAACCCTTTGCATAGGGCTGGGGGATGTAGCTCAGTGGTAGAGGACTTGCCTAGCATGCATGAGGCCCGGCTCTCTGATCCTCAGCAGTGTTTTTTAAAAACAAAACAACAACAACAACAACAACAAAACACTATGCATATTGGTCTGTTGACATAGCAGTTCTTTTGGATAGTCTCCATGTTCAATTTCCACACTCCAGATTTTCTCAAAACTTGGCTTCCCACGTGTCTCTCTAAAGGGAAAAGATGAATTAACCATACTAATGGTCTAGTAGTCATTGTAAAGAGAATAAACTGACAGTCTCTTTTCATATCTTAAAGTTCTACAATCTCAATACATTTGAAAATTCACCTTGAATTTTTTGTATTCATCAGTCTTTTAGTTCAGTTAAATGAGACAACTAGTTTTCCTGGCCTTATCTAAACCTAAGGCCAATCTCTGACATTTTAAGTTCAATAACACTGATTTTCAGAGGCTCACAGAATATCAGTTCATGATAACAGAGTCCAAGTTTTGTTCCTATTCCTCAGAACCTGGTATGAAAGGTCATTATTCTATTGACTCCACATCTTATCACGTTTCCTTAGTATAGAACACTAACTTCTAGTCAGTTTTTATTTCCTCTGAGAGGCCCTTCCCTGATCCCTTAGAGTAAAAGAGTTGTCTCTAGGGCCCTTAGCAAAGTATTTCTATCAAAACCCTAAAATACTTCATTAAATACTTCCTTCCCCTCCAAATTCTGGTTACATGGCATCAGGGAAACCTCCATCCTATTCAATGAACTAATGCTGGAGCCCATATCTTCTTGGGTGAAATAGTCTTTTCTTTTGCTCTAAATTGTACTTATTGCTTGCCTCATTACTGGCTAAACTCTTCTATTCAAACTGGTGTATACTCCCTTCACCTACTATTATATAAACACACAGCAGGTGACAATTTGTATTGGCTGAACCTATAGGGTTAATCTGAAAATATTAAGAAGGAAGAACTGTTATGAAGACCATTTTATTGCATGCACAGACATTAAAAATCTGAAGCCACGAGGGCTTACAAAGGAATAAAAATGGGAATGATGAGCAAGTAACAAAAGATCACTTAGAGAACTTGAAAACTCACTGGATATAGAGAATGAAAACCATAAATGTGTAGATTATATACCAGGTAGGTCAGCTGAATGTATATGAAAAATGGGAACTAGTATGGCACAGTTGATTAATAAAGTATATGCTTTCCCTCTGTATAGCATTCTGAATATATGGATAACAAATGATCACAATAAGTATTAAAAACTTCACTGAGAAAGAAGGGATGTAGAGAAGCAAATGTATCTAAGGAAAGGCAGTATCAAATATAGAGGAAACTAGAAGATACAAGGAAGTATATCAGTAATCTAAAGCAGCAAATTCTTTGTCATTGGTCAGTTTTAGCAATTGCAGTAGCTTAAAATGTCCACTGTCAAACTGAAATGGTGAATGTTGCAGTTGATAACAACCAGAAATTATAAAAAAGTTAAGTGGTTAAACAAAAATGGGATTCTAATTTTAAGAGTTCAGCTGGTCTTGACTGTATTATACCTGATCATGATACCCTCAAGTCAGTATTTTTCTACTCATTGTTTCCAACTACAGTGTGATAGCACTCACAGTTTTACAGGGGTAATTGTTCCTTGATACTCTAAACATGAGGAATGGTAATACAATTTCATTTACTTTTTATTCATCAGTTCTCAAGAAACTTACCATTAGTAGCCAAACAGATATCTTAGAAAAGTGCTTGCTTTAATCAATCTGCTATAGTCCAAGAATGTGAGGGAAAGTTACTCTTTTTAGGAAATTTAAGAAATACCTGTCATTTTGCTGCATTCAAACTCTTATTTCCAGACCATATAGTGTATCCTTTAATTGTTTCCTGGCATGAGTTCTCTTTTCAGTAGATTGTTAGTTATTTGATGGAAAGGACCAACTGTTGGTTATGCTTCACAAGTTTATTAAACAAAGATCAGCAGAATAATGCACTCGTAATGTTCCCTAAGGAATTATTATTGAGCGATGAAAGGAATGCTCTTTAGTATCATGATACTCTGTTGAGTACTTGGGGTAAAACATTTTTCAGGGGTTTGATTCCCAAAATAGTTTTGGCCACATAAAACCAAAATTTAAACACTTTGTTTTGATGTTTTAAAAATAGGTAATAAGGAAAAAAACAAAAAACAAAATAGGTATTAAAGGGCTGGAGTGTAGCTCATTGTTAAAGTGCTTGCTTAGTATATGCCCAAGGTTCTATTCATCCCTAGGATCACCTATACAGACATGGCCACAAAATATGTAATATAAAAATTATTAAATTTCTAATAAGCTAGCTTAATTTTTTATTTTTTAAAAATATTCATTTTTTAGTTTTAGGTGGACACAGTATCTTTATTTATTTATTTATTTTTATGTGGTGCTGAGAATCGAACCCAGTGCCTCACACATGCTAGGCAAGCACCCTACCACTTGAGCCACATCCCTAGCCCCTTAATTTTTTAAATAAGAGAAATAATAATACCTAACCTTTTCTGCATCCTTGTTATAAGCCAAGTGTAATTCTAAATGTTTTACCTAAATTGACTTGTTTAATCCTAAAAATCTCTATAGCCAGGTATCATTATTATCCAAAACAACTTGCTGAAATTAAGTAGGAAATGTTAAGTGTTGGAGCTACACTGTGTGCCCAAGCTGCATTTATGCCAAATTCCATATATGAAACTAAGCTAGATGCAGTTTTGCCTAAAGGATTATATTTTAACTGTATAATAGTTCAGATTTCTCTCCTCAAGAGTAGGCCAAGAAAATCTATTGAGCTGTATACTTAAGATTTGTACACTTCTGTATGTTTTATTAATGCTTTAATACAAAGCTTATGTTCAGAAACAAAAACTACCACTTAAAGCCAAATTTGCATCAAGTATAAAAAATTTTAATGGTATAAATCATTTCTGCATTGGTTATATTCCTGATTGCATTTAATGTCTTTTGCCTTGTTATACCTTACTTTCCCATCTAACTTTAATATTAGTTTTCCATCTTTTATATATTTACATTTGTTGATTGAAACTTAATACTATTTGCAAATAACACAAAACAAACATGAATATATTTGATTTCAGAATCCCCACCTGTAAGTAACTTCTAAGTATAGTAGTAATTATTCATAATATTAATAAAAATCACTTATACAATTCTGGATTATAGTACGGCTCCTTGTTACTGAAAGAAAGCAAAGAATTCATCAGGTAGAATGGAGACATGGGCACCACATTCTGTTGATTCTTTCCTTAGAATGATTCCCAAATTCTCTTACTTGTTCTTAATGTCATTGCCACAGGTCAGGCCTCCTTACCATCTACTGCCCAGGTTACTGAGATTAAGTCTAAATACTGGGCTGGGGTTGTAGCTCAGTGGTAGAGCGCTTGCCTAGAATGTGTGAGGCACTGGGTTAGATTCTCAGCAACACATATAAATAAATAAAATAAAAGTCCATGACAACTAAAAAAAATATTTTAAAAATTTAAATACTGCTGATAACCATTTCTTTAACATCAATGTAAACAGAGATATTCTCACTTAAGATTACATTTTCTTTGCTTATATTTACACAGTCCTTCTATTAATATTTTAGAACAGAATTAAAATTTTCCCTTTGTTCAAACAGGAATAATCAAAAAGGGCTAATGAATAGCCTAGGGTGGCCAAGCAGTGAGAAAGTACCTAAGTTTCTTATCTCAAATTCCCATAATAACTGCTGCTAAGAGAAACTTTTCTTTCTGGATAATAAACTCCTAAAACCATGCTAGTCTGTTTCCTTATTTACCTCACAGAGGGCCCTTATCCTTCAATTCAGCACTAACAGTGACCTGGTAGTCTTGTTTCTCACTAACATAAGATGCCATTTTCTCAAATAGACTGTATTATGCTGCAGCCTTCCTATCTGTAAACCTCAGTACTTTTCTTCTTTTGAGTGACTTTCATTAAGCTACATTCTCTTAAGTTCTCACTCCTTTGTCTTGTTTGGACTTTTTTATTTTTCAGGGAGGGGGGAGTGCTGGGGATTGAACCCAGGAACTTGTGCATGCAAAGCAAACACTCTACCAATTGAGCTATATCCCCAGCCCTTGTTTTGACTTTCAAATATATTAAATATATATAGAAATATATCCTTTCCAGAAAAATTTTAATCATTGTAGATAAAATTCCTTTTCGCGGGTGCCTACCACTCAATACTTGGTCTTTCCTGATGCTCATTGTCCCTATTTTATAAACAATATTAACACATGGCTACCACAGAAAACATAAACATGTTTCTTATACATAAATTGTTTTGCAACTTGCTTTTTTCATCTATTCTTTTTGAGAGCTAACTGGGTGGACAAATATAGAGCTAGCTCATTCTTTTTATTTATATTATTTCATTTTTTATAGTTGTAAATGGACAGAATGCCTTTATTTTGTTTTATTTTTATATGGTGCTGAGAATGGAACCTAGTACCTCACACATGCTAGGCAAGTGCTCTGCCACGGAGCTATAGCCCCAGCCCTATTTTATTTTTGTGGTGATGGGATTAGAACCCAGGGCCTTGCACAAGCTACATGCATTATACCACTGAGCTGTATCCTTAGCCCTAGTTCACTTTTCTTAAACTAATGTACAGAAGTAAACCAGTTTCTTACCTACTTACCTCAGTTTTCTTTTTTCTTGTGGTGCTGGGCTTTGAGCCCAGGGCTTTGTGCTTGCTAGACAAGCACTCTGCCAACTGAGCTATATCCCCCCACCCCAACCTCAAAAAGTTTTTTTTAACCATTGTTTTGCTAGTCTTTCCTTAAGGATTCACTAAATTAAGTGAAGGAAGTATATCCTTCAAAGCTCAGTCTTGGATTTTTGCAATGCTTTTTCAAGACTTACTCAGAAAGCCTGTATTGTTTCTCAGTGTTTTATTATCCTCTTTATGTTAAGAATTCCTAAACCCACATCCTCATCGGTAACCTTTACCTCAATTTAAGCTACTCAAAAGTGCCTGCTCTAGGCTATTTCTCTATTACTTAAAATGCGTGTTGCCCACACTGTTACACTATATCAAACTCAGCCAATTAAGAAAAAAAAATTATGGAGATGCCTTACAGAACAGTGACTGCACAGGCAAGGAAACCTTTCATATGATGTTATTCTAACAGATTAAGGCAGAAAAGATGAAGGCCTGAATAGAAATGATAATGTGGATGGGCAGAAAATAGATTTAAGAGATGTTTCAAAGAACTAATAATCTTGCCAAGGGTGGCTCATACCTATAATCTCAGCAACTGGAGAAACTAAGGCAGAATGGTAAGTTTGAATCCATCCTCAACCACTTGGTGAGACCCTGTTTCAAAACAAAAGGGTGGGGGGTCTGGGATATGGATCGGTGGTAAAGAGGGCCCCTGAGTTCAATACTCAGTAATGCAATTAAAAAAAAAAAAAAAAAAAGACAATCTTGGTTACCAAAGTGGAGAAGAAAGGAAATAAGAAAGTCAAGATGACTCCAAGCTATTTGATTTGAGTGACTAAATATCTTTGGCTGTCATTCAGTGAGCTAGAGAATACTAAAGGGGATGAATCTGGTATTAAAAATAGTGAGTCAGAAAAGCCTACATAACATCATGTAAAGATTTATTAGCTAGGTGGATTTGGATTCATGGCAAGTGATAAATGAAAGCATAAAAGTGGAAGAAATAGACCTAAGTTGGCATAGAAGAGAGGAAAAAAGTAAGAAATATATCACAAACATAAATTCATTACTTACCTTTTCAAATTGTGTCTCCTTCCAAGCCTCTCCATTTTTTTTTTTAAAGAATAAGCCTATCTTTTCTTAAAATTTTCATACTTACTCCTTTGCCTCCAAAAATATTGTCTCTGCAAAGTAGTGGAGGCAAAACATAGACTCTTGAGCCATATTTTCTACAAGTAAAACCCTGCTCAACTATAACTATGTGACTTTGTGCAAGTTACTTATCAATTCTGCTTCAGTTTTCCTGTCTACCAATAGTAAATTACTTTATACTGTGGTTATGGAGAATTAAATCAGTTAATTTGTGGGGGGAGGGGCATTGGGGATTGAACCCAGAGGTGCTTAACCACCAAGCCACATCCCAGGCCTTTTTTATATTTTATTTTGAGACAGGGTTTCACTGAATTGCTGAGGCTGTCTTTGAACTCATAATCCTACTGCCTCAGCCTCCTGAGCTGCTGGGATTACAGGTGAGAGCCACCACACCTGGCTAAATCAGTTAATTTTTTTAAAAAGCTTCAAATGTTGTATGTGATCTATAAGCATGTGTTAAGTAAATAGACAAAACCTGTCAGTTTTTATTGTGAAATCYTTCATATGCATTCTTTTCTGATACCCACTTAACCAATTCTTCATATATCATTTTTATTTTTTAATTTGAGATAGGGTTTTGCTAAGATGCTGAGGCTTGAACTTGTGATCCTGCCTCAATCTCCAAAGGTGCTGTGATTACAAGCATGTGGCACCATGCCCAGCCTAAAATTGACTTTAAAAGGCCACTAATGATCTCTTAATAATGAAATTAATCACTTTTTCCCCTTCTTATCCCTCAGGTGCTTTTGCATGAATTAATCGAGTGGAGTCTTCAATTCTCTTGATAACTGGGTCTTCTTGGTTGCTAGAACCCTCTGTTTCCACTACTGTACCAACTACTACTAGTTACAGTTCTTTTTTAGCTTCATAAAATGCATCCACTACCTTCTCCTGTCAAAATATCCTTCTTCCTCAACACTCCCTTTTTGATGCCAGCTCTTCCTATAGCTTCCACCTGTATGCCACTATGTTTTGGCTGATCTCCAGATGTACACTTCCAACTCTATGCTGGGCGAGTTCTGTGTGGCTATCCCATTAGATTTCAAAGTGTACAAAAAGTGAATTTGTAATCTACACTAACCTTATCATTCTGTTTCTGATTATGGTATCATATTCTTCAAAGGCCTAAAGTATATGAATGAGATTAGATTTGATACCTTTTTCTCCCTCAACATAAATTACCTATGGAGTCTTGACACTGTTATGTCAAGCAACCAATATTACTGTCATAACTCTAATTCAGGAATTTACTGCCATTCCCCAAACTTATCCTATTACCCCCTTTAAACTTAATTACAATAAGTACTTAACCATTATCTTTAAAAGTCCAGATTCAGTTAATAGGAATTTCTTCCTTATAGGCTTATTATAGAAAAAAAATGACTTTTTGCAATGAAAATCAGACTCATCAAAAAAACTGTCATTAGAATTAAACCTTTCACTGTCTGGCCCCAGTCTACTTTCCTCAAACTCCATCTTATGCACAGAAGCTCCCCCAGCCCCACCCCGATTTACTCTTTCACACATTACACTCAGTCATTATTTAGTAGCACTCCAACTGTTCGTTCTAATTGAAAGCCTCTTCCACACTTTATCCTCGCCAAGAAGTATAATTCAGATTTCTCTTCTAAAGTCTTCCCAGAACTGCTCCTTGAACAGTTCGTACATATAAAGCAAACTATCTATCCTTTTTTCTTTCCCTCTCTCTCTGAGGTGCACTTGTTTATATATGGCTCACACACTAGACCCTGAAAATTTTAACGACATTTAACGAATCCCCAGCGCCTGGCATAATGCCAACAATGTACAAAGTGTTCTGGCCACTGGCTGAACTGGGGAAATCCCATTGAAAGAGTAACTCGTATTCTCATGGGTTGGCGCTAAAGGCCTTGCCTTAAGCAGGCTCCAGCAGATCGTTTTCCCGGGCCTCAACTCTGGCACTTTCAACAAGACGTCAGGGTCCAGCATCGGGGTCAAATGTTGGGCCCTCGGTTGGGGTGCCAGGATGCGGTCCCTAGGGTATGTTCGGGCTCCCCACTCCAGAAGCAAGGAATGGGGAGGGAGGCAACGTGGGCCGGACTAAGGGCTTAATTAAGTCCCCTAGGGCCTAGGCTAGTCTCTTGGCCCTCTTTTTAGTGCAGGTCCCGGCCGATCCAGGGCCCCAAGGGGTTCCATTTTGAGAGATCCCGTATCCCAGCCCGGTGCTCCGGCCGCGTCGAACTTACAGACCCGGGGGAAGGTCGCCGTCAGGATCCGGCACAGCCAGGAGCTCCGGCCCCTCGGGGCTCCGGGAAGGGGGAGGGGCAGGGAACCGGAGCCAAAGGGGGACCCAACGGAACCGGAAGGGCAGCCCTGGCCGGACAAAGACAACTTCCAGGTCCCATGGTCATCTCCACCAATCGGAATGCTCGGAGGACGACGGGGCCTCGAGAGGGACTTTCCGCGCTGTAGGCGGGGCGCGGGCAGAATGCCCAGTACTCTTGCCACTTCGTTAGCTTCCCGCTGGAGCTGTGGTTCGTGAAGTGTCCGTGGCTTTGGCCCTGTGTGCTTCTCGAGGATCAGTTGACCCAGGCTCCCTTCTCGGCGGCTTTTCTCGAGCTGGGCCTCCGCCGTCTGCTGCATGGCGTGGGCCTGAAGGGCGCCTCCGCTCTTAGGCCTTGGTAAGTCCCTCCCGCTTAGGGATGTGGACTCGACGCGCGGGAGCCAGGAATGCAGAAAGCAGTTTATTCTCATTTCGGTGTTTGTTAGGAATCTTGCCTCGGGGTTCTTTCTCCTCCCGTGTCAGTCCTAGGGTAATCTCTTGCATTCACATTCCAGATCCTTTACAGATCTCTCTCGACATCCCAGATACCTGTGTTGAGCTCCAGAGCCAACCGTCCAGAAGACATCTTCCAATTGGTTATCCCAGTGTTAATATGCCTTTTGAGTATCTCAAGTTCATCTCCAGACCTGCCTCCACTCAGCCCCTGTAGTTCACGTGTTGGTGAACTGCATCATCCATGGATTCCTCCCTAACCAGAAAATTTTAGTATCATTCTAGAACCCTTTTCATTGCCTTTCAGTCCCATTGTTTACTGAATTCTCCCTATTTCTCACCCCCCCTTGGGGCTGTATTGTGAGAAAGCATAATCATTTTAATCTTTTGTGTTAAATTCTGTGATTAATTACATTCACGATGTTGTGTAACCTTCACCGTTAGTTCTGTTCAACCTTATTCTTTTATGTGTGATATACAGTTTTGTTGAAAAGATGTCTTTCCTCGATAAATGGTCTTGGCATTCTTGTTGAGAATCAACTGGCTACATATACGTAAACGTGTATTTCTGGACTATCTATAGTACAGTGGTCCATATATTTTGTTAGTACATTTATTACTATTAGGATTGAAGTCAAGGGTACCTAACCACTGAGCCACATCCCCAGCAAAGCTGCTGAGGCTGGCTTCAGACTTGTGATCCTCCTGCCTCAGCCTCCTGAGTCAATACTGTTTTAATTACTTTAGTTACAGCTGTTTGGAAGTTGTACCTTGTGAGCTCTTCAGTTTTTTTCTTTTTTCAATATCATTTTGTTAATGTCAGATTTTTTTTTTCACTTCCATCTGAACTGAGAATTGACTTTTCCAGTTCTTCAAAAAAGGCTTTAGGAATTGTATTGAATTTGTACCTTGCTGTGTATATCATTGACAACTATGTATTATTATTATTTAATATTTTTATTTCAGATGGTATTTTTATTTAATTTTATGTATTTTTATATAGTGCTGAGGATTGAACCCAGTGCGGCAAACCTGCTAGATGAGCACTTTACCACTGGGCCACAACCCTAGCCCTACAACTGGATATTACTGACAACAGTTATGTGTACCTATCCATGAACATGGGATATCTTCCCATTCTTTTAGTTCTTTGTTAATTTTATTCAGCTTTCAAGTTTTCAGGATGTGTCATTCATTTAGATGATATTTTGATTGAATTACTTCCTCTTCATATTGTTTATTGCTAGTGTGGAAAACAACTGTTTATGTATATTGTTATTGTATCCCTGGAACTTTACTGAATTTGTTTATTAGCTATGGTAGCTATATTGTGGATTCTTTGGAATTTTCTGCATATTAGATAGTGTAGTCTGTTAGTCTGTGATTAGAGATTACTTTATCTCTTTTCCAATGTAGTTTTTTTTTTTAACGTGTTTGCTTTCTTCTTCTTCTTCTTCTTCTTCTTCTTCTTCTTCTTTTTTAATCTAGTAGCTCTGGATACTGGAACAGTGTTGAACTGCAGCAGTGGAAGTGAGCATTATGTTTTATTCTTGATGTTAAGGAAAAAGCTTTTCATCATTGAGTATGAAGTTTCTCATACTGTGGATTTTTCATTAATACCTCTATCATGTTAAAGAATTTCCTCATTATTTAAGTTTTCTGAGATGTTATGAAAGGGTGTTGGATTTGATCAGATCTCTTTTCTGCACCAATTGGGATGCTTGTATACTAACTGTCTTCATTCTAGTTTTGTAATGTATTATATTAATTGATCTCATGTGGAACTAATTAGGATGAATTCTACTTGGTTATGATGAATAATTCTTATAATATGCTTTTGGAAAAAAAAATATATATAATCTTTATTTATTATTTATTTATTTTTATGTGGTGCTGAKGATCAAAACCAGGGCCTCACAGCTTTTGAGGCAAGTGCTCTACCACTGAGCTATAGCCCCAGCCCTGATTTGTTTATATTTTGTTGATTATTTTTGCATTTGTTTTCATAAGAGATATTGATCTGTAATTTCTTGTGGTGCATTTATCTGGCTTCGTCACCAAGGTAATGCTGGCCTCATAAAATGTGTTAAGACACGTTCCTCCTCCTTCAGTTTTTTGCAAGAGTTTGAGAAGCATTGTTAGAAATATCTCCCTAAAAGTTTAATAGAATTCACAGGTAAAGCTGTGTGGCACTTTGTTTTGTTGAGAAGTTTCAATTGCTGATTCAATCTGTACTTGTTATACATCTGTTGAGGTTTTCTATTTCTTCTTGAATCAGTTTAGGAAATTTTTATGTTTTAAGGAATTGGCATGTAATTATTAATACTAATCTCTTATATCTGAAATGTTGAGAGTAAACGCCTCACTTTTAATTTCTGATTTTAGTCATTTGTGTAATATCTTTTTAATTCTTCATTAGTCTAGCTTAAGTAAGGGTCCTCAATTTTGGTGTGTGTGTGTGTGTGTGTGTGTGTGTGTGTGTGTTTGTTTTAAAGAAACCTTGCTATGTTGCCCAGGCTTGTCTCAAATTCCTGGGCTCAAGCGAAGCTCCTATCTCAGCCTCCCAAGTAGCAGAAATTACAGGCAGTTACCACCATTGATTTTTGTTTGTTTGTTTTTCTGTACTCTAATTTGTTGATCTCTAATCTGATTGTCTTATTCCTTTTCTTCTGTTAGCTTTGGGTTTCGTATGCTCTTCTTCTTATAGTTCCTTAAGGTGTGAACTTTAGGTTTTTGATTTGAGAACTTTCTTCTTTTGGAGGGGGGAGTTTACTGGGGATTGAGTTTAGGGGCACTCTACCCCTGAGCCACATCCCCAGCCCTTTTTTGTGTTTTATTTAGAGACAGGGTCTCACTGAGTTGCCTAGCGCCTTGATTTTTTTCTGAGGCTGGCTTTGAACTTTGGATCCTCCTATCTCAGTCTCCTGAGCCACTGGGATTACAGGCATGCACCACCGCACCCAGCTTCTTCTTTTTTAATATGGTTATTTACAAATGTATATGTCCCCTCTGATCACTGCTTTTACTCTTAACTTATAAGTTTGGGTATATGTTATTTTTATTTGTGAAAATTTCCAGTTTTTGTTCAGCYGCTGTTTTCTTTTTTCTTTCTTTCCTTTTTTTTTTTTTTTTTTTTAGAGAGAGAGAGAATTTTAATATTTATTTTTTAGTTTTCGTCCGACACAACATCTTTGTTTGTATGTGGTGCTGAGGATTGAACCCGGGCTGTATGCATGCCAGGCGAGCGTGCTACCCCTTGAGCCACTTCCCCAGCCCATCAGCTGCTGTTTTCTAACATCATCTCATCATGTTTAGAGAAGATACTTTAGTTATCTATCTTTTTAAAAATAAAAAAACTAGACATGTTTTATAGCCTAATGTATGGTCTGTCCTGGTGAATGTCCCACATGCACTTGAGAGGAATGTGTATCCTATTATTGGATGGGATGATCTATGTCTGTTAGGTCTAGTTGGTTTTAAGATGTTCAAGTTCTCTATTTACTTATTAATCTGGTTATTCTAGCACTTATGGATTATAGGATATTGTAGTCTCCAACTATTATTGTAGAACTGTTTTACTACTTCTTTTAATTGTATCAAGTTTTTGCATCATATATTTTGAAAGTCTGTTACTAGATAAGTATATTTTTATATAATCTTACTGTATTGAAATGTTTATTAATATATGTTATTCTATCTTTTTAACCTTTTTAAATTAAGGTCTGTTTCGTCTAAATTTAGTATAACCACCCCAGTTCTCTTATTTACTATCTACATGGAACATCTTATTTTATTAATTTCAGCCTTTTTCAACCTAATTGTGTCTTAAGGTCTAAATGAGTTGTAGACAGCATGTAGTTGGACCATGGTTATTTGTTGTTGTTGTTGCTATTTATTTTATTTACCAAAGATTGAACCTAGGGATGCTTAACCACTGAGCAACATCCCCAGGCCTTTTTATTTTTCAGACAGGATCTCGCTATTTTGCTTATGGCCTCGCTAAGTTGCTGAGCTGGCTTTGAATTTGCAATCCTCCAACCTCACCCTCTCAAGTTGCTGGAATTACATGTGTGTGCCACTGTTCCCAGTTGGACCATGTTTTTTAAAAAACTATCTGCTCATCTCTGTCTTTTGATTGGAGAGTTTAAACCATTTATATTAATAATATTAAGGAGGAACTAATATCTGTCATTTTTCTATTTTTTATTGTTGATACCTTACTGCTTTATAAAGTTCTCATTTCCTCCATTACTATTGCCTTTTCTGTTTAGTTAGTTTTTGTTTAATCTTGAAGTGTTTGATTTCTGCATTATTTCTTTTTGTAATCTACTGATACTTCCTTTGTGGCTACAATAGGATTTAACATCTGTATTAATCTCTTTTCTGCTGCTAACAATATCGCAGACTGGGTAAGTTAGAAAAAAAAAAAAAAGGTTTATTTTGGCTCACTGGTCTGGTTCAAAGTTGAGGAGCCAGTCTGTTGATAGACTTGAAGCCTGTAGAGTCCCAAAGTGGCAGGGGACATCATTTGGAAAAAGTGTATGTGTGTGCGTGTGTGTACCTTTTCTGGTCTCTCTCC